ACAGTAAGTAAATAAAATTTATAATCATACCTTCACAACTTCTTGGGCAATTTTCTGCAAATCTTTATTAAATGACAAACTCGGATCACTTCCAACCTTTTGTGCAGAACTATGAGGCAAATTTTTGACATTCTGTTGAACGACACAATGAGTCTGTAAATTTTCATTTTGCCTTACAGATCTATCACGTTTACTCTTCTTATTGAATGGAATATCAGTCAAAACAGTAAGATTTTCCGCCTCAATGATACCAAGCTCCTCATCCATGAACACAAGACCTTCAAATGTATACTAACACAATAATAATAAATTGTGAATATACACTACTCATAAAAAGAAAATTAATTAATAATAACAAAAGAGCTTATATTACCTGATTGCCGTATTTTCTAAACATTCCTTTCTGGAGATGGTCAAAATATATCTTGTTTTTGGATATATCCCAATTGAATATTCTAGGCGTTCGATTGGATTTACGAATTGCAATTGAACCATCAACTTTGTTACAACATTCATAAAACCAAATTTGCAACGCGAGCGGAAACCCTTCAAACTTCACATAATCCGGATCTTTTGCCATTTGACTCGATATGAAATGACGAAGATTAAAAAATGAGAGATTGCCCCAGGAGTACGTAATGTACTGTCCCGACTCAACACATAAGAAGTGATCTTTTGGAATATGTGACAATTGTGGTGGAGATGACAATATGAATGTACTAATGAAATAATTCATAGACATATTAAAAAAGTACTTCTTCCTGAATCAACCCATCTTCTTTAAACACTCTTATGAAATCAGCTTTCAAAACCTTATCAACAACATTTGGAAAGTAACGAGAAAGTAACTTTGATGTACTATTCTAATCATGATCAAACCCATACACCCACCACACTTAAACCAGTAATTACCAAAATTACTCTAAGCCCAAAATGCATTTCTTTACCATTTATGTCAAACACAAACATGTCATCCTGATTGTTAGATAAATGATGAACAAGACTTCTAATAATCTGAGGTTGGACTTTCAATTGGGATAAGTCTAATAGATAACCAAAAGGAGACTCTTTAAACAAATGAACACTGCCAATTTTTTCAAGTAGCTTTGTTATATCAACAAAAATGTTGACATTAACGTAAGAACACCAACGCGATTGTTTCTTCTTGATCTAAAAATAATATATTAAAAATCAATAAATTATAATAGTCATAAAATGCAAAATATATAATATAAGCAAAGAAATATTTGCATCAAAAAGTACATTACTAAACAACGACGGTAAAAACATACCTTTAGTGGTACTTGTGTTGCCTTTTTCCTTGTATTATTAATAAACCTAGTCCATTTTTTACTTAAACCATTCATACCTTTGCTCACCGAACCCCCATCAACATTCTAGGGCAGAAAAAAAATTAATTAATGTTACAAATCTTTCTAATAAGAACAAGATTCAACACTTGCATGTCAACAAAAAAATAGAAAATTTAATCAAATAAATAAATACATTTAAATCCTGATCATTATTTACTCTTAATCTTTTAGAGAGGGGGATTTCGTCCTCAAAATCGTTGTCATGTGGATAATGATCTTCTAACAATTTTTCTTTACCCTTCGATTTTGTATCTGCCCCATAATCATCTTTTTGTTGAACTTTGTAGGATGATGAAGAATTGATAACAATACACTTATTAGATCTACCAGATGGTCTTGAACAACTGATCTGCGGGCTTTCAATGACTACCACAAATTTGTTAAGTCTAGGACTTTTACATGGAGTCTTTTCCATCAAACAATGGTAATTTTTTTAGTTAGTTGGCTTGTGAAACGTTTCTGTGAAGAAGATTAAAGGTTAAGAAAAATGAAGAAGAATATGGAAGAGAAACCCTTTTGACTTCCCAAAATATTTTCAAAATTTCTTGAAACTATAACTCCACATTGATAAGTACACCCCTTTCTTGGTAAAAAACAGTTTTATCAAAAAAGAATAAACTAATTATGATCCCCAAAAGGTCCACTAAGCCTAAAAAAGGGAAAAAAAATAAAAGTAATGAAATGTGTGTATTTGAAACTGTTTAGGAGAGAGAATATTTGATAAATATTAATATCCTAACTATACTCCATATAAAAGGCACGAATTACTAAAAGTATGAGAGAGAAAAATCTGTAAAACAAAATTAAATTAAATACAAAAATTAAATGTTTTGTTATGTATGTAATTTAAAAACTTAATTTGTAATTAAATATTAGTATATTGATATTTTGTTAATAAAAGTCTTAAGTAGTATATTTCTATAATTTTCACATTTAAGAATTAAACTCTCCTTCAACTTTGACAAATAGACTTTCTCCTCAACATATGTCTATTAAATTTATTTAATTCTTATTTTAATCTTATATTATCAATAAAAATTAAAATTATAATATATTTTTTATTTAAATTCATCTAACAAATTTATCCATAGAAAAAATAATATAATTTACATGACAAAAAGAATGAGTATATCAGTATGACGTTCTATTAAAACACACCTTGATTATCGATTGTTTAGTTTTCATACCTGAAATATCACCATTGTGCAAGTAGAAAAAATGAGCAATCGATAGTTGAAGTGTGTTTTGATAAATAGTTGGTGATACTTTAGGTAGAAAATTCACACTTATGATACTTTAGTTATTAAACTCGAAACAACAAGATTTTTTTAAGTGTGTTTATAACTATTAACGTTTTAAATCCCCATGTAAATTATGTATTATTGAATACATTAAGCACTATTTTAAGTAGAAAAAAACCGAGTATATAGCTTATTAATGTGAAGTTTAATTACTTCCTCATTGATAGAATTTATATAAAATGAAAAAATAAATATTTTTTACTTGTACATTCAATTGATATATTATTTTTTACAAGCATTAAAAATTATATAATTTCTCTATATATGTTATTAAATGATATTTATTTCTAAATATATAATAAAGTATTTTGAAATATAATTATCAAAAGATAACTTTAAATTATAACTACCACACATATCTAATAAGATATACTATTAATTGTTGATTATAACTTCCTTGCACATTAAACTTATAAATGAATTTCTATTTTCAATTATTTATTTATAAGAACTTTGTACGTATAATTTAAATTTTATCTATGTTTAATATGCTTAGTTATGATATTATCTCATCGAAAGTGTAAGCATAAAATTTTCATGATATATTATGTGGCAATGATTTATTTTAAATATATAATAATTTTCATGTTTCATTTTTAAGAGTTAAATCATATTAACTTTAGCTAATATTTTAAGATATAATTCGTTGATGACTTTATAGTTCTTTTTGTGTAATTTATGAATATTAAAATTGTATTTTTAATATTTAATTAATTTAATTTAATTTAACTTTAAAAACTAATCAAATCGGAGAAGAACACCAAAAATTAGTGTAATATCTTTGGTATTTCTTGTACCACATCGATGGAAGACCCTAAGAAATTAGCATATATAATGCTAAGAGTTAGAATATTGGGAGAGTAGAGCAATTATGTATGGGTGGGCACTTGGTAGACAATGGTAATTAATAAAGGTAATTTGGGTTGGGATTAAGTGTTACCCATTTAATATGGGGTAGACAATGGTATTTAATATTGGTAATTAAGAAGAGGTGTGTATGTGTATGGGTGGATAAATACGGGGTAACCAAGAAGAGGTGTATATGTGTATGAAGTTCTATAAACTAAATAATTATTAATATTGCTTAAAATAAATTTCTTAAAAAATTATTAGAATATTTTTTCATGCGGCTTTATTTGTGAAAAAAATTGTAAGAAAATTCCTATTTTGTTACTTTTTACCAAAAAATTTTAGGATATTTTTAGTATTTTTTACAAAAAAATCCGCAAGTAATTTACATGCGAAATAAAAATTACTTGCGGGTTTTGAAATTCGAAGGAAATAATTACCTACGAAGGTTTTACCATCAAATTATTTTTGGTAGAAAAATTCTCATGAAATTTAGTTTCCTGCGAATTTTTGTATACAATTCCTAGGAAAATTCCCAAGTAATCCACACTTTTCTTGTAGTGATTTCTTGGGGCTAGAAATACTTGACACAACAAGAAGGGTTCTCATATACCAAAAGAAGTTTGTTATGGACCTATTGAAAGAGTATGGTTGTCTAAACTACGATCATTTTTCTTCTCCCCTTGATCATACTATCAAACTCAGAGCCAAATAAGAAACTCCCCTTCCTTATAGAAAGTTTGTAGGGTAACTGAACTTTCTAACTAACACCAGATTGGATATAACCTTTATTGTTCAACATTTGAGTCAGTACTCCCCATCTTCAGGCTGCTTTTCACCTACTCAAATATTTGAAACATGATCATACCTTAGGACTTCACCTCTAAGATCCTGATTACACAATGAGAGCTTATCGTGATTCTGATTGTGCATCATGCCCATATTTTAGAAAGTTAGTTAGTGGTTATCTAGTGTTGCTAGGAAACAGTCATGTCAGATTAAAATCAAAGAAACAAGAGACAATCTCCTCATCATCAGCTGAGACTAGTGGTGGCAAATGAGCGGATTGGGTAAAATTTGGGCAGGTTAAAAATGGGTAACAATACAATCCGTCCATTTTAATATGGGTAAAACATGGGTTGGGTAAAATACTAGTTATACCCATTTAAAGAGCATCAATTCTCCAATAGTTCTCTCATCTCCAAGAAAATGAGCTGGAACAGTTTCATAACTCTGTTTCCACTCCATAGATAATGCATCTGCTCTGCATACTTTAGTAGATTAAAATGGACCCCAAAGTAAAGAAAATCACTTAGCAAAGTACAAGTATAAAGTAAAAAACAAAAGAAAAATGTAAGAAAAGAGACGAGTGTTAACAGAAAGCAACTTACACAAACTACTATAATTACACCAATTTCCTTTATTTTCAACACACTAGCATAAATACACAAAAACACCTCATACATAGAGAAAACTTTGATAGCTCCAAATTACTAATAAGCAACAATCTCCATTGGAATGTAACCAAAACAAACATTGTCTAAAACATTCATTTACTGCATAAAAACATAACAGGCTCACATGCCTGAATATAATAAACGAAAAGCATAAGTCAAATGCTATTATAGTCGATCTTGCAGCCTCTTTCTTCATCTCCACAGTGTTTCCACTTCCTCAAAACTACATTTGGACTTGCTGCACAAGGTGAAACAAATTTAAAAAGTAAATACATTGTTAGGAAACATTGTTACTCTCCTGTGATTCTAGAATTTGCAATATAATTAATTACATTCCAACTGCAAGCAGACTTGACTTTAGCAAATCATGTTTTAAAACTAAAATAGTAAATACATAGGCCATGCAGTACATACTTCAAGCATACATAAATTATTCTGCAATGCAAAACAATTAAAAGGATCACTTGAAGGTCATCAAAGACTGATGGTTAAAGTTCTATGAGCTTCTACAAAGATTTAATCACACTATCTTCTTTTTATATATTTCTACATCTACATTTAACCAACCACACATTTTACAAGTTTTCAATCCAACTAAAGAAAGAAAATGGCAGCCACCATAGCTACCATGGCCGTCCTCAAGCGCCAAGTGCTTCACCAAAGCATCTATTAACAACCCATCAAATATATGAATACAAGATACAACATTTTGATATGCAGAAAGATATAGGTAATAGAACTAGTCCAGGACATAATCAAACAGGATTCCAGCTTGACTGCCTTTTATACTAATATTAGTAAGAACAACCATACACAAATGCGGGCATAAAGAGAAGAGAAAACCAACTAAAGTTACAACATTTGAGTAAAACAACTTTGGTTCATAGGGGAATTATAGTGTTGAAACTGTCAAACTACATCCATCAGACTATGTGGGAGTGTAGTGTAAGCTTATATTCTATAATGAAGCAGAGCACATAGTTTAAGAGATAGTGAAACTTACATGAAACAAATAAAGCTCCCAACTAAAGCATGTCAGCCTAAAAGATCAATTGCAAGCGTGTTGCATTCTATCAAAATACCGCAATCTCATCTTCATCAGAATCAGATTCATTGGAACCTTAAGAAAACAAACAAAAGGAAGAAAAATTATTTACTGAGACAGAATACAGGTCACCAAGGAAAGTAGTAGGTGAATTAGTTTGGCTTCATAGATCGCTTACTGAATTGAATGTTCTTGATCCATCTCCCATTGTTGTCCATTGTGATAGACAATCTGGAATCCATATAGCCCAAAATCTTGTATTTTATGAGCGCATCAAACATATTGAAGTTGACTGTCACTTTATTAGAAAGAAGCTTCAGGAGGACTCATTTCCTTTCATCATGTTCCTATTGTTGAAGAATTGACTGATATCCTTATAAAGGCACTTAGTGGTATCAAGCACACTACCATCTTGGACAAGCTGGCTGTAAGAACATTACCACAAACTTGAGGAGGGGGTATTAAAGTTAGATTAGCTTAATTATATTCATACAATTAGTTAATACTAATTTGTTAGTTTGTTAGACAGTTAGTTAGTTAGTCACTGTCATGTAGTTAGTTAGGATATTTTTCCTCTGATTTTTAATAAGCTGATTACAGTTGTCAAGCTCATACACTTGTATATATACTTCATCATTAATCAATGAAGAAAGTGTGAGTTCTCATCCTCTCAAATTACTAGAACCCTCAATGATATCACGTATTGCATATCTAATGTCTAAACATGGTCTTATATCAATCTCATAATGATCACCAAAGAAAGGCAAAGGGGCTGCTTCAACTAATTAACAAATGGCATGGACCAAAATTTTAGGAGACACTACGAAAAGAGTAATTTCTTTGTTAGTTGATTAGTTTTTGCTTCTTCCTTTCCTAGATTGCTAAGACAACTTGCTTTGTAGACTAAAGCTAATTAGGTCACATGTCCCCCCCCCCCCCCCCCCCCCCAAAAAAAC